TCCCTGGGTCCAACAGGCCGGGTTCATATCTCAGTCCTGCCATGAGCAGTTATAACTTTGGGCAAACTGCATAGCTTCTCTGTGTCTCAGTTTCTTCATCTGTCAAATGGGGATAAGTCTTCACAGGGGTGTGATGAGGGTTAAGGGTGGAATAGACACATGAGTACTTTAGCATAAGGTCTGCCTGATGCATAAGGATTCCCTCTGCAGATTAAAATCTTAAATTTAAATAAACCATAGATATACAAATATGGGCCAGCAGCATATGAGAGCAGGAGAGTGGAAGGGAGGAGGGGAAAGCGAGGGGGATGGGGCACGCATGCGCGCGCATGAGAGCCCGCAATATATTTTTTTCTCCTGGTTTCCTGTATTTCTGCCCTGGGGCTCCATACCATTCCTTACATCTATATAGTAAACCTGCCTGACTCACTTGGAGCTTGCCAGACTAGGGCTCTACTCCACATGATCAAAGGAACCTAACCCAGAACAGGCTTCCTTCCCTCTTTGTCCATCCCACACTCAGGCCAAACAGGACTTGGCTCTTCCTCAGCCTTGCGCCTTCAGCCCATGCTCCTGCCCATGCCAGCAACGGCGCAGAGCTGCCCACCTCTCCCCTCAGCCTCCTCCAGCATCAGTCCCTTACTTTGCAGAGCGCTCATTCCACACCTCTCTGAAGTTCTCTCCAGTCCACCTAGCCAAAGAAACTTCTGGCCACTCAGAAGCCCCTTGGCTGCCCATTCGTGCCTCTCCTATGGAGGGTCTAATCCAGGCTCCATCATTTAGCAGTTCCAGCCCCGGCAAAGCCCTCAGCCCCTTTCAAAGAGGACTTTTGAGAGATCAGAAGCGCATGCCAGAAAATGTACACAATGACTGGAAACCTCAAAGTACTCTTCGCACTGAAGGCCCTTCCCAAGAATCTCTAAAGAACGAACAGCAATTTGAAGATAAACATGTAGGCTCTTCATTCTGTGTCACTCTGCCTGCTTTACAATCCTCTGGAAGCTCTGAAGAGTGGAAAATTCCAGAGGTCCCCACGGACCTGCCAGTCACACAGTCTCCAGGTGTACCTGATGGGCTGGTGGAGCCCTCCTCCCAAAGGAATTCTGGCAGCACCATCTCTCTCCCAGCCTCCCAGTGCTTCATCCCTCGAGTATTCGGCTAAGACTTAGAAAACAAGTCTCTCCAAGTCTGCCCATAACTCTGCATTTTAAATGTTCTGTGGGCCATAATAACTACTTTACATAAATGGCCGGTAGGATGGAGCACAGCAGAACACAACAGGAGAAAGAAAACACAATGCAGTCATGTAGATTTCATTTGACCAGCTAGAGCGCTCAGAGAAATCGTCAGACCACACTAAAAGGAATGGAGTCATCTTTACACAACTCCCTTCACACTCTCTGAAAAGCCACGATGAAGAGCGACAAAAATTACGACGTCTTCGGCTAATTTTACATGACACAGACACAAACGACTTTATTTTTTCCTAATTGTGGGAAATAATGAAATCTTCTGTCCTTCTATCCATGTTCTCTACCCAAAGGTTCTGCTAATTTAAAACATTTGGTGGAAAATTAATACTAGGACATTGTTCTTATGAAAAAATCTAATCCGCTTGAGTTCAATTCTAATACTCTGAGAAGAATATGAACCTGTCCTGCATGATGGTACAATGACAAAATGAGTTAATTGCCATCTCATCCTAAGATGAGTCTACTTGTCATAGGAACAGGAGCCATTATTTCACACAAAATAATGACCCAGGTAAAACGTAATGACTGCAAGCTGAGGCAGCCAATGACACAGCTTCATCTTGACCTAACTGAATGGCAATTAACAAGCGTCACCACTACGTATATATGAATAAGGCCAAAGCTACTCATTAAATATTTGCAATGAACAAAAAAACCACAAATGGTTTTTAGCATATTTCTTCCTGGGAAGCACCTGTGGTCTTCTACCTGGTGTGATGACAGAAAAATTTGCACGTGTAAAATTCAGCCATCACTTGGAATAGCCATAGGCCCTGGAGAGGTTCCCGGAGTTGTCCTCTGCTCTTTGCACACACAGGTGTTATTTTCTCTAGAACATAACATAAAACATCGGCCAACAACAGAGAAGGGGAGCAGGGGGAAGGGGGTCCAAACCCATTATTTTGTCCCGCTGCTTGTTGTCATGGCAACTGGACTAGAAACTAAAGCCACAGCCAGCAACGACAGCGAGAAATGCTGGGGCTTTCCAAGCCCAGCCCTGTCCACTGACAGACAACGCAGGGCAAACGGTGGGGCACCCTCAACACACCTGGTTCCTCCAAGGCAGGAATGAGTATAAGCCACATTTCTATTTAGAGGAGCAGAGATGGGAGTCTGGGACAGACATCTGGAGATGCTCCAGGTCAGAAATCTCACCGCTGCCCTAGTGTGCAAGCTGTCTAGTCTGTGCTATTTAAAAACCACGTGCACGACAGGAGCAGGATGATATGGTGGGCTTTAAAGCGTATTATTTTCAAAGCGTTAGGAACAGGATTCTCATACTGTAAGTCTTCACTTAATGGTGTCAATAGGTTCTTGGAAACAGACTTTGAGTGAAATGCCAAATAACAAAACCAATTTTTTTCTCAAGGTTAAAGCTAATCGACACTGAACGACATTGAGGACCTGCTGTATGTTGTTTCACTGAAAGTCAGTTTCCAAGAACCTACTGACAGTGTTTTTAGTAAGGACTTATTATGCAAATATAGAACAAGCAGGTGTCATTTACTTAACAAATTAATGAATCATTAGATACTGATGTGTAGACACACACATATCAGTGGGAAGAAAAGAATGCTGGTATAAAAGTTAAAATAAAAACTGGTTAATGTCCTTCAGGACATAAAAACCCTAACTTTGAGGGTATTTTCCTTTGGACAGATGAACATCTCCACTTGGTACTACAGAAACAACACCCCAGGAGCCCGCAAATCAGGCTGTTTTCAGAAGAACTAAGACAGGACCACTGCAATTGGTCAGTCACTAAATGATCTAATTTGGTTTAAACAAAGGCACCAACTTGTATCAACTCATATGTTTTCTCTTCTTCTTCTTTTTTTTTTTTTTTTTTTTAAAGAGACAGGGTCTCACTCTATCACCCAGGCTGGAGCGCAGGGGTGCACTCATAGTTCACTGCGGTCTCAAACTCCTGGGCTCAAGCAATCCTCCTGCCTCAGCCTCTCAAGTAGCTAGGACGATACTCAAGTAGCACCATGCTTGGCTTTTTTTAAAGACTTTTTTTTTTTTTTTGCAGAGATGGGGGTCTTGCTATGTTGCCCAGTCTAATCTTGAACTCCTGGGCTCAAGCAATCCTCTTGCCTCAGCCTCCCAGAATGTTGGGATTACACACTGAGCCATCACACCCAGCCTCAAATCACACATTTTTAAAGAGCATATTTGACAGAGAGGATACCTCATGCCTTCCTTTTACCCACTTATCCCTCAAACATTCCAAGCATCTGAGTCTTAATTACAAAACCATTTCTAAAATGATTTTTTTTCTCAGCATTCAGATCATAGGGTAAATTCCACCTCTCGAATGTCCCTATAGAAGTGGATTATTTGCAGCAATCCAAAGATGGCTCTATTCTATAGAAAGCTACAGGACTTATTAAAACACTTGTGTTCTTAGGCTTATGTATAAGAAAAGCTACCTTCCCCCCGTTGCTTATGTAATAATCTGAAATCTACCAGAGTAGAAAGAAACTCTCGCATCTAGTACAATTACCAGAAATGCTGACCTCACAGATCATCTGGCTCCTGGTCTATGGGCCTTGGATCCATCACAGAGGAGCAGCTACTCCCAAAGCCCCTGGAGCCTGAACACTCAATATATGTTGAAGGAAGGGTGGCAGGAAGGAAACAAATCTCCTTTAAAGGACAACCTAATCATTTCACTGTTCTGTAGAATTCCGCTCAACAGCTTCCCGCCGCTTTTACAGCCCAGTCCCAGCTATCTCTGGCCCCTTCTCCGACCCTCACTCTCCCTCTGACGTCCTTTTGATTCTTCTCACTCCCTCCTGCCTCAGGCCCTCAGGTCCGCTGTTCCCTGTTTGGAGGGCTCCCCAACCTGCCCGAGCACAGCCGCATCCCCAAAGACACCCCTTCATCCTTCCCATCTCAGCTCCAGGTACCTGCCTGATCCCCTCGCTCCTCAGCCTCAGCCGCTTCCCGCTGGTAACACTCACTAGTTCGGCTTCTTTGTTCACTGTATCCCAGCTCTTAGTACTAGTCCCGGCCCAAAGCCAACAGCTGACGATATTTATTAACAAATTCCCTAATTGGCTGATTGAACCTCAAATCACAATCACCTGTATGGGGTGGGGAATTGTCAGTTACTAGAGAACACTGGGTAAGAAAGAACAAGATAAGCATTAAGCAATGAATTCAGCCCCAGTTTGGGCCTAGAACTTTCCTTCTGCAGTAAATGTCATATTAAAACTCAAGTAGACCCTACAGTTAGGCACCAAACCTCATATGGCATGAAGAAAGGTTCAAAACCAGACGCATTTCTGGGCAGATATGAATTCCCTGCAACTAGGCAGTTTTCCTTGGTATGATTGCATGCCGGTGGCCACAGGACTCTGGCACGCTCCCACACTAGGAAGGGAAGGGGGCTCACAGCAATGAAGACCCATAGATAAGAGGAAGGTGGGATTTGGGAAGTCACATTACCTTAAGGGTTTGAAAGGAGCTTCGGCATGGGCCTGCAGGTCTGTCAGCTGTTCACCCCACTCCAGCTTGAGAAGACAGGACCCAGGGTCCTGCATGCCTGCGGAGGAGGGGCTAGCCACCTGTTCCACAGTCAGCTCTGGAAGGGCTGCTTCCCGGGGGTCTGCCAAAGGTTTAGGGCACAGCTCTTGCATGGCCTCTCGAGTGTGGCTGACCTGCCCTAAGCTAGCTCCCTGCCCGTTCACTCAGGTGAATGCTCGCAAACCTGCTCAATGGTACTCTGACAGCAGTGCTCACCTTCTTAATGAACTCTGGGAGGAGTTTCTGGTCTGTCAGGTGTTCTAAGGAGGAACAGCAATCTAATTCCAAGATGTAGCCTTCATTGTGAAGATCCGTTTTCTGAGATCTGAAGAGAGAGAAAAGCGTGCACATACACGGATTATTTTTCGTAATTTTGAGACAAGAGTCTCGCTCTTATCGCCCAGGCTGGAATGTAATGATGTGATCTCAGTTCACTGCAACCTCCGCCTCCCAGGTTCAAGCAATTCTCTTGCCTCATTCTCCCGAACAGCTGGGATTACAGGCGCCCACTACCATGCCCGGCTAATTTTTGTATTTTTAGTAGAGATGGGGTTTCACCATGTTGGACAGGCTGGTTTCGAACTCCTGACCTCAGGTGATCTACCTGCCTTGGCCTCCCAAAGTGCTGGGATTACAGGTGTGAGCCACTGCGCCCGGCCATAATATTTTTTAAAAAAGAATCACCGAGTCTTTAATGAAGCCCCAAATTCTTTCCTGAAACTAATGCTATAAAGGCACTGATGAAAAACAGTTTATGGAAACAACTCAAGTAATACGTACAGATCTACATCATAGAAAGACCTCCAAGATGTAGCATCATGTAAAACACATCATTATAGAATGATGGGTTTGGTACAATATAGCTTACATGTTACACACACACACACACGCACACGCACACACACACACCAGTAATGTCTATCTCCCATTGGTTTATATCTACCAGGGCACAGAAAAAGAACTAGCAAAACATACACCAAACCAATAATGGCAGGTACCCCTGGGGAATGGGGAGGGCCTATGTGGGAACTGGGGCTGGGTGGTGACGGTAGGGGTGTGGGGGTGGTGATCAAAAGTGACTTTAGCCATAATCTCTAATTTTTCATTTTTAAATGAAAAAGGATATATTCCTATATCACTTAGAAAATTAAAAATTAATTTTTAAAAGACTTTAAAAGGGTTCAACCCCTTCTGAGGGCAATCTGGTGAAATCTATCAAAATTAAAGATGCATTAAAGAAAGACTACCAAGCAACTAAAAGAAATTCTGGGAAAACAGCGTGGGTGTACAGGGCTGTCTGAGATGAAGGCCTGCGGTCTTGCTGTCAATGGAGAGGCTTCCCAGCACACCCTGCCATCTCTGCACACTGGGGCTGCTTTCCAAAACACCACCACATAGACATCCCTGTGAAACAGCGCAGCTCAAAACTGCGCCCATTCAGGAGAGCCAGAGCAAGTGGTCACCAGGAGGAAATTCCACCACCTCACAGCCATTCACAGGCAGGGCTCCTGTATGACACAATAGTGGAAGCCACGTGGTTATCAGAAGGGGATTCCTTGGCCCAGCCAGGCATAAGGCAACAAGAGCGGTCCTGCAGCTACGGGCTGGCAGGGCATGCTGTCGCTCCTGGGTGGCTGCTGGTATTTGGGAGTGGGAATTAGAGACCAAGGCTCCCGGCTCCTCGTCCAGGGCTCATGTACACAGCTAATCTGCACTGCTGGAGGAGGGAGCAGAGCCTTCCTGGCTCACTTATGAGGCTGCTCTACCAAGAGGGGCCCCAAAATCCCCCATGAGAGCAGGACAGTCCAGAAAATCGGTAAAGCGGCACTTCCACACCGAGCTCCTGAGAGATGCATCTTACCCGTCTCTAACTGTATATTTGCTGTAACACTTTTAAATGAATTTCCAAGATTCTTATATAGCATTAAAAGCAATTTATGCTACCATTAACCATCTGTGTGTGATTTACATGAAATTTAAAAGTGAAAAAAATTAAAGAGGATTTGGTTTTCTCCAGGTGGGCAACTGTGATTTGGTAAGCAGACTTCAATAGCTTATTTTTATTTTATGTTTCCTTCTGACATACCCTTCCAATGGTAGGATACTGTGGTGCACACATTCAAAACGTACAAGAATAAACTGATTTCCACCTGGAACAAACTAATTCCAAAAGAATAAACCAATCCTGAACCCTAACCTTTTTGCCTTAATACTTGGTCAGAGACTAGACTCATGTTCTCATTTCTTTCCCAAACAAAAGATATATTAAGAGAAACTAAGGCAAGATGATTCCAGAACTTTAAAAAAAAAAAGACTTGGTCAAGACGCGCTGCCATACGTTGTCATGTGAGGATGAGTGAGGGCGGTTCTAAAATCTAAAATCCAGCTGCTCTGTTACTTGAAACTAATGTCAGACTATATGAGGTTATTTAGCAATACTCACTGAGATTTCAAACGAATAGCCTAAAAAACTGTGATCTTTTAAAATAAGTCAATGCTGTACCCGTTAAGCACAACATTCACAGGATGAACAAAAGAAAGACAAGTCCGACTGTAAGCAACTCACAGCCCAGATCGAGTCTGGGGAATAATCTTTAACACAGGATCTAGTAAATACCATCTTTGGTTCTGGAACAAGAAGTTCTATAACAAGAAAGGAAGCTCTGGTTCATTTCATCAAATAACTAACTCAGTTACATCTGAACTGGAAGGAGTGCAAAAGATCAAGAAAAATAGGCATTACAAATTTTTTAGATGAACCATGGAAAATTACATCTCAGCCTATGGTTTCTCGGAAAAGCAAATCTAATGCATATTGGGGGAATAGGTGAGCAAGTAATAGGCGTTCCCCTGCCTTTGGGAATCAGCTCCTCAATTTGAAATGAAAGGATTATAACACTGAAGAATGGCTGAAAGGGAGAAGATCGGGGAAGGATCCCTAAACCCCTTGAGGACAGATGCTGGCTGCGGAGACGAAGTCAGCACTCAGTGACGGTGCAGCTGTGGCCTCAGAGGAAGAGCTGAAGGCAGAAGGCACAGTCACACAGAAACTCTCTCCTTGCCCCTAACCCTGTGAAAAACAGCATTAAATCCACTAGCAAAGCCCTATAGGGCTGCCACAGGGAGTTTCTGGGCTTCTCAGCATCGGAGGTGGGGCGTGAGGTACTGGTCAGGGGGATCATGGTTGCTGTGGCAAACACACCCTAAGATGACCCCCCAACAATACGCACCTCCTGGTGTTCACACTTTTGTGCAATCTGGCCCCTTGAGAGGTGGCAGGGCCTGTGACTTGCGCCTATTCAATAAAATGTAAAGGTGATGGATGTCACTCCTATGATGACATTATGTTATATGACTCCCTCTGAGCTACAGACTCCCTTACTGGCTTTGAAGAAGAAAGCTGTCAAGAAGAAGGAGAGAGCCACATGGCAAGGAACTATGGGTAGCCCCTGGCCAACAGCCTCAAGAAAACAGAGATCCCAGTTCTACAGCTACATGAGGTGAATCCTGCCGACAAACTGAGGGAGGCTGGAAGTGGGTTTTTCCTCAGTTGAGCCTCTGGTGGGACTGCAGCCCGAGCCAACATTGATATTACAGCCTGATAAAATCCTGAAGCAAAGAACCCTGATAAGCTACAAAAGCTGTATGGTAAATACATATAGTTTTGAACCATGAAACTTGTTATAATTTATTACAGAGTATAGAAAACTAATAGAAAAACAAAAACAAAGAAAACTAATACAGCTCCTGAAGAGGAAGACATGGCAGTCTCACGCTCAGAGCAGGCACTCACTGGTGGCCAAGCCTAGGCCCAAACCCACAAAATCCAGCCAGACATCTAGGGCAGCCTCCATGAGGTGAGGAGTGTCTGTGTCCCTGAGGGCAAGGACCACCCTGGGAGACACAAGTGGACATGTCCCAGAAGTGACCTCCAGGGGCCGTGGCCTGGTTGTCCAGGATACCACAGGACAAAGGAATAAATACTCCGCTATCAATCTAGTTTCTATTAAGAAGTATTAACCTGAAACTCCCAGCTAAGCAGGCATCGCTGACTTCCTGTGGGGGAGGGGAAATACCAGGTATGCTCCCCAAAGGGCCATGTCATCGTATCATCCTGGAAAAGAATATGGGAGACCACCAAACTTCCCCTGGACAGAAGTCCAGATGGCTCCCACTTTTGGAAAGGACAGAGAGATCCAGGTTTAAACAGTAAGAAAAGAAAACACAAAATGCATTTCTGGAGATGCTCGCAGAGTTAACTATCAGCAAAAGCCCCCCTTTATCTGGAAATTAACCCCCTTTATCTGGAAATTAACCTCCTTTATCTGGAAATTAACACCAAGCACTCTCCAAATAAATAAAGGCACTCTGAGAAGAGCATGGCTAATAATAAAATATACTTTCCCACACTCTCCATCCCCAACTTGGTAAATCTCAATAGATTTATTAGTTAGAGGCTGCTGGTGTTAGAGCTAACTAGAGGCGGGTCACAGACCAGCTGTGAGTCTTTGTATTTCCATACAAACAGGTTGTGGGTTGTGGAAGGGGGAAAGTGGATGAAGTTGACTCCAAGGATCTTTGCCCTAGCAACTGGGAGAATGGATGAATTTGCCAGAACTATGATGGGGAAGGGTTGGGTGGTGCTGGCTTAGGGGGAAAGATAATAATTCAAGTTTCAGATATGTTGAATATGACATATCCAGAACATCCAAGTTGAGATGTCTGGTAGACAGTTGAGGATATGCTTGAATATATATATACTCAAGTCTGGACTTCGGGAGAGACAGTTGTGTTCACACACACACATATTCAAGTCTGGACTTCGGGAGAGACAGTTGTGTTCACACACACACATACTCAAGTCTGGACTTCGGGAGAGACAGTTGTGTTCACACACACACATATTCAAGTCTGGACTTCGGGACAGACAGCTAGAGATATAAATTTGGGAGTCATCAGCTCCAGGTATTACTTAAAGCATGAGGCTAGATGAGATCTCCATTAATGTAGAGAGAGAAGAGTTAAGAATTTAATTTTGGGACCCTCCGCCATGAAGAAGGTGGGGAAAAAAGAGGAGAAAGCAGCCAAGAGCTAAAGAAAGAATAACCAGGGAAGAGAAAGAAAACCAAGAGAACATGTCTGTTTTCCTGGAAGTCAAATCAAGGGAGCAAGTCAAGGAGAAGGGTATGAGACATCCGGTCAATTTCTTCAGTTAACAAACTTGTAATCTCTTCAATTTATTTATCCTCTTGAAATCTCAAGAGGTAAACTGGATTTAATCCACCCTATGCAAATAGGTGTAAAGAAATCTGTTAATCAGTTTAT